AAAAATCACTTCATCACAAAAATTTTACAAAATATCCAGTATTTATGAGTTATCTGTATTACTGATGTTAGTAAGATCATTCCTTATATATAATAATAACTGATCTAAATACTATTTCATACCCCTTTACATTTAAATAAAGGAATACAAACCAAAACCATAAGAAAGTTTATATTCTAGCTTCTTTTCAGAGGAAAGAAAAAACTTGGAAACTTGTTTTCAGTATGATAGCTAAAAATGACATAATTGTTTAACTGGATACAAGATATAGTCTCCAAATTATTCTCATTAACATTCTACGAAATTAACAATTTCTTAACTTGAAGAATGTGATGGTTATTTCCCAACAATATAACCCTGAATTTTTAATATATATTTTATTGTAAAGATACTGTACATGAAAGAAAAAAACATTTGAATACTTATCTTGGGTTTCATTTCATCTACCATCAACTTACAAGTCTTTATGTCGAAAAATGAACTATACAACTTTTGCCGGGGGTAGGGGGGTGGGAGATGGGAAGGGATGGGAAGGGGAAACAAAGGAGGAGGGAATAATGCTTGATAAGAAATGTACTTATTACCTTGCTCATGTAATTGTAACCCCTCTGAATGGTATTTTCACAATAAAAAATTACAAAAAGATACTGTACAAAGGGGTTATATTTGCATGAGTAAGGTAATGAGTCCATTTCCTATCAAGATTGTTATCCCCTCCTTTGTTTTATCCCTACCATCCCTTCCTTCCCCACCTCCCCAACTCCTCCCTCCCCCAAAGCTATAAAGTTCATTTTCAACATAGTGTCTTTGTACATAACCCTGATTTTATCTCTAAGAAGTACCCTCTAACTATGCAACACTCTCATTCGAAGTCCTTTCCACAGTTAACCAATTGAGATTGACACAGCAAGAGAAAGTTAATTTTAATACTAATTGGAAGATAAAGTTCAGAAAGAAAGAAAAGTTCAGAAAGAAACAAAAATATTAAAAGAAAACAAAAATTATACCCCAATCTCATGCCAAGATGGCAAACATGATTTTTTTTTAGTTAATACTCTATAAGTAGTCTACACTTACTCTATGTTGGTAGCTTATTATTTATACTTAGGGACTTTTGGTTTTCTGAAAATTTAATGTGTATTTAGCTTCCTGAGCCATGCCACTATAGTATAATTCTTTGCTCTGTGGAAAATTAGTTGGGTGTCACTCTAAAATATCCCTGGACAGGTACCTTGGTAGTTAACTACCATAATTTTATAAAATAAATTTTATATATCCTGTTATTTGATATATTAAATAGTAGAAATTTTAAAATATTTTTTAAAAGAACCAAAAAAGAGAAGTTATAATATTTGAGTATATTTTATTAATTCTTCAAATTGTTTTATTTAAGAGGGGAGCAGTATATCTATGTCATTTGGAAAAATTAATCTTAGTTTTGGTGCAAGCTTGAGTCTAAGCCTGTATCAATCACCAAATCTTCACTAGCAGAACAGATAAATCATGTTAACTTTGATGAATACAGTTAATCAAAGACAAATATCTCAAATCACACTCCCAAACTTCATTTCTCATTGCTGTCTACCCATTATAATTTTCCTTCAGATATGTTCTCACCAAAATTATCAATGTTATTATTTAAATTACTGTACTTTGTGAAGCAATCATTCAATTATTATTTATTAAGGACCTACTTATATGCCTTGATTTTTCTTCATGTTTCTAAAAATTAAAGAGGACAATAGTTTAGAAAAATAACTATTGTCACTAGTGACATACTCATTTAAATCCTGTGTGTAGTTTCACAAACCAAAAAAAAATTAAATAAAAAAGACCTTTCCTACTTTACAAAATGTTAAAATGCCCTTCAAATAATTCGGTTTATACAGCATCAGATGAGGTGAGGTGCTTGATATTTAATTACAAAATGAGATTTTTTTAAAAATATAGATTACATATCAGCTTATTGCAATGAAAAAGAATGATAATATGATTTCTAGAGGGAAATGATTTAACAACTGAAAAGGCCATTTTAGGTCACCTAATTTTAGTTAACATAATTTTGCTATTATACTCATCAGTCAGACCACACAGCAACATAGATTGGCACAGCAAACTGTAATAATTTTCACCATCCATATATTCATTAGCATACAAACCCAGTTCTAAGCTGTCACATTTGCTTGTTTTTATTTTGAATTAAACATGGTCAGAAGACTCATTAGAAAAAGAAAAATTGATTTCTTATAAAGATCATTGAACTTTTTAATGCCAACAAAGAAATTAAGACAAAAATAAATTATATGCAGAATTTATGCTACAGAATGAAGGCCTACTGGAAAAGTGCTGACATGTACTAACCTATCTTTTACAAAATGTAAACAGATATCTTGTTTAGAAATGGTATCATCTCTAAACTTTATTTAAAAAATACTTTTATAAGAAAACAAATGCTATAGGATAACAATAATAATTTTAAAGAAATTTGTTCATATTGTATCTTAGTAATGGTTTGTATACATTGCCTTTTAATATATTAGAAAAATAATTTTAATTCTTAAAACTGAGACTGGGCCGGGTGCCAGTGGCTCACGCCTGTAATCCTAGCTACTGAGGAGGCTGAGATCTGAGGATCATTGTTCAAAGCCAGACCAGGCAGAAAAGTCCGTGAGACCAAAGACCTAGGAGTCAAAGCAGACACTCTGAAAACATTACAGGATGGAATTGGAGAAACACTAGGTCTCCTTAGCACAGGCTGAAATTTTCTTAATAGAGACCCAGAAACACAACAAATCAAAGAAAGGTTGGACAAATGGGATTGCATGAAATTGCAGAGCTTCTGCATGGCAAAGGACATAGCTAGCAAGATCAATAGAAAGCCCACAGATTGGGAGAAGATCTTCACTAGCCATACAACGGACAAGGGTCTCATATCTAAAATATACCTGGAACTCAAAAAATTAAATCCTCCAACAACAAATCCTCAAAGAAACAACTGCCCAATAAATAGTGGGCTAAAGACTTGAAGAGAAATTTCTCTGAAGAGGAAAGAAGGATGGCCAATAGACACATGAAGAAATGCAAATCAAAACAGCATTGAAATACCACCTCACCCAAGTTAGAATGGTTATAATCAAGAACTCTAATAACAACAGATGCTGGAGGGGATGTGGACAGAAGGGAACCTTACTGCATTGTTGGTGGGAGTATAAATTTGTTCAACCACTTTGGAAAGTAGTATGGAGGTTCCTCAATATGACCCAGCAATTACACTGTTGGGCATTTACCCAAATGATCACAAACAAGGTCATACCAAAGGTACCAGCACAACTATATTAATTGCAGCATTATTTACCATAGCTAAGATATGGAACCAACCCAGATGCCCCTCAGTAGATAAATGGATCAAGAAAATGTGGTATATATACACAATGGAATTCTATCCCTCCATCAGAAAGAATGACATTGCCCCATTTTTTAGGAAATGGAAAGACTTGGAAAAAATTATATTGAGTGAAGTAAGCCAGGTCCAAAGAAACATAGGTCCCATGGTTTCCCTTATTTGCAATAAGTAATATATGTTTGAGACAAGCAGAAAAGGTCAGATAAGTTGATCTTAGATGAAAGGAACCCCAAGATAAGTATTCAAATGCTTTTTCTTTCATGTGATTGTTTCTACCACATTTATAAGATGATTTCTTTGTTGCTTTGTATGTCCCTCCCCCACGGTATAACCCCTGCTTTCACAGTATTTGATGTTGGTATAATTTGTAGAGGGGAAGGGCAAAAACAAACTGTTTAAATAGAGATACAGGTGGACCCATTGCAACAATGAGATGTACAAAAACGAGCTTTACAACTTTGGCTGGGGTGGGGAGGACTGAGGAGGGGAGAATGATGAGAAATGTACGAATTATCTTGCCCATGTAATTGTAACCCCCCTATACAGTATTTTCACAATAAAAAAAGGAAAAAAAGAAAGGTCCCTGAGACTCTTATCTCCAATTAATCACCAGGAAACTGGAAGTGGTGTTGTGGCTCAAGCAGCAGAAGCTGAAGAGCGCAGGGATAGCACCCAAGCCCAGAGTTCAAGCCCCATGACCGACCAAAACAAAAAAACAAACAAAAACCTGAGACTGGTTGCTTCATACCTCTAATCTTTGCTACTTGGAAGGTAGATTTCAAAAATAATGCAATTTGAAGTCAATGGGATAAAATGATATTTATGAGATCTAATCTCAACCAATAGAAAGGTACGAAATCTTGCATATGCCATCCCAAATACTTGGGAGCCATAAATAAGAGGATCACAGTCCAGGCTGGCCTGAGACATAATGAAAGAATCTATTGGGAAAAAAAAGGAAAATGGCCCCAGGACCCTAGAGTACATGCAAGCACAATGTCCTGAGTTTAAACTTCAGTACCACCCCACTAAAGAAAAAGAAGCAAAAAGTATGACAGATTTGTGCTTTTATGTCATGCAAAAATTAATTTGAAAATAAATGTTAAATGAAAGAAACCATTTTTAAAAAATTTTAAATAGAAAGAAGCCACATCAGAAATAAAAAATATATTATTGGAAGATAAGTACTTCCACACAATTTAATTTGTTTTGAAATATATTAGTAAAATTATTTAAGACAGATTATAATCTTTTTTTACTTACATTGTATAATTGTTTTCATTACCAATTATTTACACAAAATTTGTTTTCTTTACATAATTTGGATAACTGCTAACACGCTTTGCATGTGAATTTATTTCTTTAGATCAGAATGATGAAAGAGTCTACCACAACCCATTTTCTACCTATGTACTCAAATTAAATTTACCCTGATAATTTCTATAGAATTAAGAAAGAATAATACAAAAATCCAAACCCTCTTAATTTGAATTTGCATTCAAGAAGTGCTTGTCTGACATAATTCAGCTGATAAATATGAACCTATGTGCTTATCAAATCCCTAAGAAGATTATCTAAATCAACTCCATGTAATTACCATTCACCATCTGTTCCGCCAGTGCCTGAGCTGATCTGCTGGCATCTTGCAGTTTTCTGAACTTCTCGGCTTTTTCTCGCTCTATGGCCTGCAACATGAAAGCAAAGGTAAGTATTTCAATACAAGCATTGTGAATTTCTACATTAATCATAACTTTGGTTTTCCCTCTCAACTCTTATGATACTTCACTCTATTAGTTTATCATATGATCTGAAGATCTGATTGTCAACAATTATGACACCTGAAGCATTAAAATTGCAATGAAAGCACATGCCATTTTCATTCTGAATTGCTAATATTGATATTTCTATTCTTAACTTCTTCTTCTTTAATTTTAAAAGCAAACTTTTATAAATGAAGAAAAATATGAAAAATAGTTATAGAAAACAAGTGATGACTTACATTTCAAGAAATATTACATAGATTCATTCACTTCTTTTACACAATAGTTTCTGATACAGTGCAATGAAGCACTACCAAAAGGGAATGAAAAAGCAAATCATAACAATGAACGATAAAATATTTGATAATTAAAATTCATATTTTAAAGATGTACCATGATACTTCTTCCTGCAAACATACATTTATTTAGTGCCAGAAAGAAAACCAAAAATCCAGAAATATATAAATTAGAAAAAGGACAAGAGCATAAATAATTTAGCAGAAAAGTATATTTTAATATTGGGGACTAAAATAATGAAAGTACTCCTACTTCCAAGGAAAAACAAATCCAAATACAGAGCTTTCTAAATTATTTTTCTACTCTTTATAATCAGAAATAGTTTTTGAACAACAAATACAATATTATTTAAATTAACAAACTTTATATTTCTGAGTGAAGTTAATAATAGCTCTACAGAAATAATATCTTTAAACCAAAGTGGAGAACTGCATATTAGTATAACTATCTTTATTAAAATATATATGATTATAATAAAATGAATTATTTGACTAGAACATAATTGCTTTCAGAAAAAGAAAGCCTATAATATAGTAAGGTGAAGAGTTCCCAGTTATCTTTAATTTCATGTTCACAGATACAACAATGACTTGTTTCCTCAAACATGTGGACAAAGGAAAATGGTTCAATTTTAGAGACCATGGAATTAAAGCAGCCATAAATAGCATCTAGGTAAGAGTAAGATTCCAGATGAAGCTCTGAAATTCATATTCCCTCAATGCCTTAACTTTTGTGGTGTTAATTTCCTGCTTGGCAGCTAATTGAGAAACACATTTCTTTTAGTTACGGGTGTTGTCCATTAAAACAAAGTTTTATTAGTAATATGCTCTGAGAATATCAAAAAGGAATCGACATATTTAAGTAAATCTGTAATATTTGCAAATACTAAGAGAAAGGAAGATTTTGCATGTTCCTATTTAATCTACATCAGGCAAAGTAAATGATGAGACAAAGAAACAATACTGAAGCCACAACCATGACCTCAAATTATGGTAGCTGCTGTTCTTTAAGTTATAAGTTTTAGTTATACTTCTTATCAGAGTGCCTTCTATTAGACTAGAGTAAAATTTGATTATTTTAACATGAACTTACATTAGGAGAAGAATCAAAACACCATATGGCATTCATAAATAATGGATATAAATTAACAAATGTCCCAATCATAATCTTTTCCTAAGAATCTAATGAAATAATCAATTAGTAATGCTAACAGAGAAACAAGCTCGTATTTGCATATCTCAGGAGTAATAATTGGGCTTTAAAATCTCAATTTGCTAACCATACTGTTTCACTTATTCTAATATAAATAATAAGAATAATAACCCCCATAACAACAAAACAACAATCTCTGGAATATTAGCAGTACTCTTGGTTTGACCAGTAAGAAAAGCAAACCAGGTTTATAAGAAAAACATCAGTCTAACTATATTAAAGCCAAATTCTTTTATCTACAAATCACAATTTATGCCCTTAATTTCAAACACATATCATATTAATTATGAGACAGAATGAACTAACATTGTATTATTCCATTTTGTGCAAGAGAAAACAACATCAATAAATTAATCACAAATCTGATGCTTTCACATTGAATTCTCTTTCAAATGTGTGTGTGTGTTTGTGTGTGTGCATTTGTGTGTGTGTGTGTAGTCTTTTTTTGCCAATCCTGGGGCTGCAACTCTACCACTTGAGCCACAGTACCACTACTGGCTTTTTCTGTGTATGTGGAACTAAGGAATCAAACCCAGGGCTTCATGCATGCTAGGCAAGCACTTTACCACTAAGCCACATTCCAAGCCCTCATATATGTGCCTGTGCGTGTGCGTATGTGTATGTGTATGTGTGTGTGTGTGTGTGTGTGTGTGTGTGTGTGGTGTGTGTGCGTATGTAGTCTTGAGGCTTAAACTCAGCGACTGGGCACTGTCCCTGAGATTTTTTGTTGAAGGCTAGCACTCTATCACTCCAACCACAACTCCACTTCTAGATTTTGGTGGTTGATTGTAGATAAGAGTCTCATGGACTTTTTAAAAGAGTATTTCATTGAAAAAGTATTGTATTAGAATATTAAAATACAACCCAAAGCAAAAGTGAATTTTCATTGTAGATAAAGTCAGGGATACCAAAATATTTACCTATTGTTAAGTCATCATGGGCAGCAATATATTAGAAGGAATGTCTGGAGTTGGATATCTCTAATTTGAGCTCTTTTGGTGTCTGAGATCTGAGCAAAACTGTCTGTGATTTTTCAGCTCCAAAATAACCAGCAAAATCCAGGTAGAGGCATGACTCAAGTAACAGAGTGACAGATGAGTAAGCCAACCAAGAATGTGCAAGATTCTCTGTTCAAGTCCCAGTACAAGGGGGAAAAAAAGAATACTTGTTGATGCACAACATACAGGGGCAGTTCATTGGTGGATTTCTATCTGAAAGTTTCCATATGAATACTATACACAGACTACTTATTTTACATTGAGACAAAGGCCTAGGATGTAACCATTAATATCTGTCAATAAAATTTGTAATATTTGTCAACTTTCATTTGGCATCTAGATTCTGTAAGATTGCATCACACTAAAACAGATTATTGGAAAAGGAAGAGGATTTTGAGCATAAATAGACCTTGAAATGAACAGGCAATGAAGGGTCCAGAGAATACTAAGTTTTAGGCAGTTACAGATGGTTGATTAAAGTACTAAAATTAAAGTAGCAAAAGATGAGCAAGAAGATCATTGAGAAAAATGGTTCTGTCTTTTGTCAACTAGCTTGAGTCCTTCTTACTGTGTCTTAGATTTTTGACCTCAGTAAAGTCATTCAAACTTTCTGAGCCTCAACGGTTTTTATGTAAAATTAACAATAAAGATCCCTACCATCCAAAGGTTCTGAGGAAGCTAAGAAAGGATTTTCACATAACTTACCATATAAGGTAAAACAATGTTTCTAGTAAGTAGGGGAGATAGGAATTATTAATATAGAGATAACGGCATGACATAAACTAATATTATATCATAAAACCTAGAATATGTCATCATTCTAATTAGACATAATCTCAATAATGTTAAAAAGAAGAAAATAGTAGACACAACAGTAGAGCAATGAAAGGGATGACATTGATCAACATGCATTGTACACTAAACCAACATATTGAATTGAAATCCCTTTGTACAACAACTTAAACTTTTTTACATTTTTTTAATTGTAAAATTGCTGTACAGAGGGGTTACAGTTACATGAGCACGGTAATGAGGACATTTCCTATTGAGCATTGTTGTCTCCGCCTTTGTTTTCCCCCTACCATCCCTTCCCTCCCACCTTCACAACTACCCTCCCCCACCGCCGAAGTTGTAAAGTTCGTTTTCAACATCGTATTTTGTACATCTCATTGTTCCAATGGGTCATCCTGTATCCTTATTTAAGCACTTTGTTTTCTCCTTTCCCCTCACCGAATTAGAGAAGTGTATATATACAAGATGCAGGGCACTGATATCAAATACAGTGAAAACAGGGGTTATACCGTGGGCGAGGAACATACAAAGCTCCACATAGAGCTCCCCTATGACCAAGCAATCCCACTTTTGGGCATTTACCCAAACGATCGCAAACAAGACCATACTAAGGTTACCAGCATAACTATGTTTATCACAGCATTATTTATCATAGCAAAAATATGAACAAATCCAGATGCCCTCAGTAGATGAATGGATCAAGAAAATGTGGTATATATGTATGTATGTATATATATATACATACATACATATATACCACATATACCACATACACACACACACACACACACACACACACACACACACAATGGAATTCTATGCCTCCATCAGAAAGAATGAAATTGCCTCATTTGTTAGGAAATGTAAAGACTTGGAAACAAAATATATTAAGTCAAGTAAGCCAGGTCCAAAGAAACGTAGGTCCCATGGTTTCCCTTATTTGCAATAACTAGTACATGTGTAGAACAAGCAAGAAAAACCAAAAGTCTTTATATGACCATATAAGATGATAAGAAAATGAACCCCAAGATAGAGACACAAACATCTTTTTTTCTTTATTGCTATTGTTTCTAACATATTTATAATGTAGCATGTGATATTTTTAAAGATAATTTTTTAAGTTATAAAAATGTGGAGTAGAGTACCTTGCTTCTAGAAATGGGAGAAAATATGCAGATAACTGTATTTTAAATCAGTTTAAGAAAGTTGACTTAAAATCATTAAAAATGCTTTCACTTGAGATCTGTCCACTCATATATTAATCCTAAAATGTTGTATATGGACTTTAGTTTTAAAATACTTTGGATCAATGGTTCCTAATGTCTCTGTCTTATCCAGTTTCTCATATAAATGTGCATAAACATACAAAAAAGTATAAATCTACATCAGAAACATAAAGTATGAAGAGAAAGACATTGCTAGAAAGTAACTTTCTAGGAGACGTATGTAAACAAAGGAGGAATATGATATTCCACAATAAATATTACAATAAAATTTGGATATTACCAAAACCAAATGAAAATAAAAACAGAAACAGAATAAGCTAGCCCTCATAGTTTTTGTTTCCAGTTCCACCAAACTTTCAATTAGCCATGTTACCATTGGCTTCCAGATTAGTATATTCAA